CTCTGAGGGCCCCCGTGCCTCAGGATATTCAGGCCAGTACCTGACTTCATTAAGGGAGCAAGATTTGCGATGACGAACGGAGAACCAAGTGGATAGACCCAAACAGTTATGGGCCATGGGAGTAGGGGTCCTACCTCTTCTTGACCATCAACTGCGTCCAAGAAGCGTAACAGCCCGCACAAACTCACGTCTTGCTTGAGCCGTTCGCGGTGGCTCCAATTTCATCAAAGCAAAGCCTGCAAAGAGGCCCGCTTTTGGCTGTGCAAAGTAGAAATCCCACCCACGTGTTCGGCTTGGTACCTTCCTGCCTGTGCGTGTAGGTTTGGTCATGCTTTGTTGTTACCAAAATGCCTGTGGGGGTCCATCAGAGTTACTTCGAAGCACCGGTGTCTGCCATTACGGTGCTCAAAGTCGGCCTTTGCTATTGTGCAGCTGCGCCCTTGCTGCAAGCGCACCCATGGCGTCCTGCAAGCTCCACTGAAATGTAAACCTAGCAGCCTTGAAGAGAGCTCGGCTGAACACACAGAAAACTTGACACCCAAAATAGACTACAGAATAGATCCCAAGTGCATCTCTCTTCAATCATTCTGGGCACGTCAGTTTGTGGAAAAGAGGCATTCCGGCCTCTGGGTCTAGCACTTCGGCAATTTCACCAAAGTCCTCTTCTACTTCTTCAAACCTCACAGCCGACACGGCGACCATTGTTAAACACCTCTTCGTTCGGTTCGAGGTATCGCAGTCAAGAAGCTCGGCCAATGCACTGGGGAAATCCTTCAAAGCATTGTACCTCAGCCGCAAGCTGCATATGGAAAGCCTGTCTACAGCAAGGTCGGCAGAGTGTGGGGCCAAACTTGACTAAGTGACTAAGACGATGAAACTGATGAAACAGAATCAACGTACTGCTATCCACACTTTGCGTTGGAACATCTGATTCAGCAATAAAGCAAGTCACATTCGGCCCAGCTCGAACTGCTCACGAGGGGTTGCCTGCCGCCAGAATTTGCTTCCATAACTTGAGAAAGCTTCTTACCAATTCATACAAACCTTATTGCGAGGACCCCAAGGCGTGCGGGGTGTGGATGAGGCAGGAGTTTATCACCGCGGCTCGCCTCATCCTCGTTCGTGATGAACTTGAGCTTCTGCCTCAAACAAGCTGATTTTCAACGAGGAAAATAGGCCCCGGGCGAAGACTCTGCTGTTCCGATTCCGTTGATGTTGGCCGAGAGAGACCTCGCATCAAAGCAGTTCCAAGTCCAAGCTACGCGTTGATTCGCTCGATCAACCACCGCTGCTCCCAGTAGGGCTTCGTAATCAAGTAAAGAGATACCTTGGTCCAAATGAACAAAACGAGCTTTCAATTTGCAAACCGCAGAGCGGAATGCTTGCTTGTTGGCTCCATCATATGGATGTTGAAGCCAAGGTACAGCAACGACGAGCAAAGAGATAATGATGTAACCATAGAAGAAAGGATCGGGGCCAAACTTCTCCAAAGGCGTCAAGTCCCTCGAATTTGTGACACGTCCCTTGACATCGCAACAATACGAACAAATCCAAGAGTTTGGGGAATTGAAAAATGCAATCAGTCTTCTCAGAGGTTGCAAGAGAGTGGTGAGTTAAATTATCAAATGCTGCGAAATTGCTTTGACGACATATAGTCTGCCCAACTGCATGCTACATTCACTTGGCTGTGGTCAAAAAGAAGGGACCCCTGACCCGCAGATTAGTCATAATCGAGTTGTCCATTTGCGGAGTGGATGTTGTCCTACTGTTTGAGCCATAGTTGTCTTGCCCCTACGACTCGATGCTCTAAGGCGTTAAGGCTAAAAAATGAAGCAAGCAGTGTTTGGAAAACCAATTCGATGACTTTGTTTGACATGTAAACTAGCAAGGGTAGCCAAAGAATAAGGTCCTGTTGAGGATTTGGAGTGCTATTATTGTCGGTGATGTTTTTGTGTTGCGTTTAGGGATGTTCTTTTAGATCTGCTTCTTGTTGCTTTTCCTCACATTTATATACTTGCTTCTCTGTGGTTGCTCTTGCTTTTCTGGTCCTTCCTGCTTTTGTGCTTGTCTGTCTTTTCCCTGCTTTTCCTTTGTTCGTTGCTTTCCTGTGATTTCTCCTGCTTTTCTTGCTTTTCCTGCTTCTTTTGCGCTTGCCTTGCACTTCCTGGCTTTTCTCCTGCTTTTCTTTACTTTCCTGCTTCTTGTCCTCTTGTGGCGTATTGTTTTCCTGTTTTTAATGCTTTTGCCTTCTATGGCCTTTGTTGTCGTTGCTTATTACTTGCCTTATTCCTGCTTTTCTGGCTTTCTATACTCTTGTTGCCTTGTTTTCTGCTCTACGGTTGTTGTGTTTTGTTTCACCCTAAGGGACAACCCAAGCGCATCACATGAACAGAACTCTTTCCTTCGTTGCTTCCTTCTCGATTATGATGCACTTGTCTCATGTCATGGATGTTCGCCCTGCGGGCGGAGTTTTTGTCTTTGCCTTGTGGTCCAGTTGGTTAGGTATTTTGCACATAGGCCCTAGATGCCCTGAAATAGACATGGACATGGAAAAGGGTCTCCTGGACACTTATTTCTACAAGCAGCTAGCTTTCCACGTCCACTGGAGGAACTGCAGTGAGAAACCACGACCGCACAAAAAAGATAACAAACAAACGCAACGCAACAAATTCCCCAAATAAAAGTGCGCCCTAAGCCCCGAGTCGATATCCTGTCTTGCATGAGGAGTTGAGCTATTGTGCCATCCACGTCCCGCGCGCCAAGGGTAGTGATGGTTCTGCCGAGGGATGCGAGCACACCCCCATTCTGCTGGGCAAGACACTGTGGGTTGTCTGCAATCACCTGAGACGGCAGACAACTCCGTAGACGTTCCCTCAAGCCCTTGACCCATGACCATGTGGGATCACGGTCTTGAGGAAAAATGCCGATAATCTGGATCTATAAAGTCCTTTTGATAGAACTGGAAAGCTGCTCACCGAACTGGTTGTCACTGCCCGGTTACCAAAATCCAAGTGAACCAGGCCGGCCGTCTTTCAGCCCCAAGACCAATGCAACTTGGACACCACCTGGCCAAGGTCTGGCATGGGTTGCCTCAGAATCGGTGGGAGTCTGTTCTGCTGGAGTTCTGAACCTCCCATGAAACGGCGTCAGTTCCACAAAGAGGGCCAGGCCGCCAAAGGAGTGGGTTTGCTTCTTCGCTGTGCATCATCCCAGTCGTCATGCCGAAAAGAAGATGAATCTGTGGTGCTAATCAAGCCCTGACATTACATTTGCAGCAAAGTAATTCGCAGAGTTCTGCAATTAGTACTGCAGACAAGCCACTGCAACTCAACACCTGGAAAATGGCAATGTGCCGGCAATGTGAATCATTCACATTCCGTCTGACGTTCGTTTTCCCAGTCGAGATAACACCGGTTGTCAACATTCGAGAACAGCTGCTCAGCTGCTCGCGACAAACACAGCTAAGGTGCCTGGGGCCTTTGGAGTCATTTCACCACACATTGCGACAAAAACCTTGCTCGTCACAGAGCCTGTGCGCCACGCTGGCGCCACGAAAGCATGGGCATGGCCCAGACACAACAGCACTGCCTCAGTCAGGACCAAAGGCACTACCTACCATGCTGTCCTCAAAAATTACAGTATATCCATTTACAGTAATCTATATAAGAACGGTTGAATCTGATGATTCAACTGGTTATCAAGTGCATTGGCCGAATCTCGAATGATTCTCAATAGCGGTCGACCCGATTCAAACCCCACCTGGTACAACCCACGAATGGAATCGTGCAAATAGCATGAAACGGCACCTGCCAATGTCAAGCTCCTTAATCAAATCAGCTAGTTGCCTTCGCAAAAGGAGAACCTGGCAAAGCGCGCAAATCTAGGCCTCCGAACACCTGTGGCTGCGCGCCGAACAGCTGTCCGCCGCACTGCCCGCACGTCAGCAGCCGGTTCCATGGCCAAGCGGTCCTCGCCCAAAAATGTGTGCTGGGCCCGCGGCACGCTCTGCAAACTAAGCCACATAGTCCCGAAGCAGGGGCGTATGAAGTTCTAGTAGTAAGAAAGGGCATCGCTACTAGAAGCAAGAAGCTACTAGTAGCTCCTGGCCTTACTAGTAACAAGGACGCTACTCGGTTGAGGCCCAAGGCCCCCAAGGAGCGCACATGCAGTCCCTCTAGGTAGTTGTCAGTGCAGCCTAACAACTACCTTCTCATGTAGCCAATTTCGTTGCAAGATACTGGTAGCCCGATCAAATCACAACCTCGCATTTGGACCACCACCACTAGGGTCACTAGGGCAATAGTTTTGCACTTGACATGTGAAAAATGGTGCACGTAAACTGATCCGAGGATGCAAACATGCTTCGTCGATCGAGAGCTCATCGACAGCCACCCAATTTCTTCCCACAAACGATCTCATCTCAGTGAAACTTCTCGCTAAGGGCTTCTGCAAGGACTGGGGAAATCATTGAAAGCAATAGAAGGAAAGCAATCTGTTTGAATCAGAGCATGAGACCACATAAGCTCAGCCTTTGTTTCACATAAAACCACATAAGACTTGGTTTCTGTGTTCAAACGAGTGGATGTCATGGTCCGCCTCAACATCCGCCTGCTCTTCAACACAAGAGTTCTGCAGATGGGGGGGTCCCCCATTGTGTGTGGATCTTTCCCCAAAAGCTGCAAATCTCAAATGTTCATGTCACGGTCATGTTCTCTGCTGTGTGAATGAACGTCCCACGGATGTTCGTTCGCTTTGATCGCTTCACCACTCACTCCAGCTCATCTTCTTCGTCCTCTTCCAGCAAAGAGCTGTCGCCTTGAAAGGCTGGTCTCAGGAGGATCAGGTTATGTCAGTTATGTCCTTCTTATTTTTGCTCGGAGTGGCACAAAGGAGGTCCAACGAATGTGTTTTCTTGTGGAATTGCATCAGATCTGCAACACCTAAAGTGGAGGACAGTTACAGTACCAAAAGAATTCCTGGAAAGAAAGTTCAAGCCATCTTCCTTTTGCCTTTTTGCAGCGTTCCCATTTGTCCAATATACAGGAATTAACCGCAGAAGTCTGCGGGTGGCCAGGAGTAGAGCCCAGCTGCTTCTCTCTTTTGGACCAGCAGCTCTAACTCTACAAGCTACCACACCCAGCCCCATGGAAAATGAGTTGCCAAAAAAGGCAACCTAATGAGTCGGGCAGCTCAAACACTGATCTTGACACACTTCGGGAAGAAGCAGGCATGCGGGCCTGCTCCTGGCCCGATGCCAGGGCGTGCAAAAAGGCCCATGCCATGAAACTCGGCTTCAGACTTGAATTGGATCTTGTAAGTGGCAAGCGGAGGCTGGTAGTAAGAAACGGGAATCCCTTCATTTGTTGCCGGCTGGAAGCCCCCAGGATAGCCATTGTGGTACGGCGGACTTCCATCCTGGTGACGATCGTAGAGCGTGCCCTCCAACTCCAACTCGCTGAAAGGATTCTGGACCATGCTGAAGGACTGGTTGAAGGAGGGTCCTGAGGCATCATTTTCGTTGGAGAGGATGTTGTAGAGGTTTTCGCCCACCTTCATGATGGTCTGCGTTTCGTTAATGAAGGGCGAGACAGAGTCGAAGCCAATGTGGCATTGAAAGTTGTGGCAACGATACTTGCCCGAAGGCTCGAACTTTGGACATGTTGCAGCTTCATGGCAACACCGGCCTCGCTTTTCACAGAGACCTTTCTTTTGAATGCAAGATGCTGGACACTTAGCCGGCTGCGGTGGCAGAGCTTCATTTACCTGACTCAGCACAGGCTGAAGAAGGACCACTGCCAGCAGTTGGATTGAAGTCCAAAGTGCCATTGCGAAGCGCAAAAGTCCTCCGAGCATACAAAACTGAAACTGAAATCGTGGGCAAATTTGAGCCAATGCCTCTTCACACGGTATCTAGGTGTGTGGTCCATAGTCGCACTGGGACACTTGCTACAGGTCTTAGGCATGGAGTCCTTCCTGCATTAGATCACCTGCTGCAACTCAAACATCATATATGAAGAGGTCATACAAAGCTCTCACTGCAGCTGGGGCCCATGCGAGAATCGCCCATATTTCTGTAGCAGAAAATCACAGAGCCAGCGAGGCCAGCGGCCACCTGATCCGAAAGCGGCGTGGACCCGCCCGGTCCACGTCACACATGGAGTCATTCATCTGTGGCCCCGCAATTGGGCCATCTACATCTCTTCCATCGGGCGGCCAAGCGATCTCTTCTCGGTCACAGGGTCATGCAACACATCGGGACCAAGATGACCGGGAGGATCAAATCTGAGAAGCCAAACAACCCGAGATGCTCCCGCCAGGTCACTGCGAATGAGATGAAGAACCACGCCCATCCAGGCAAGCCCCGCTCCCGGAGGGCTGTGCCCGAGACGTCGCTGTTGATGTCCATCACTACCTCAACAAGTTCAGCTTGAAATTATCTGCATAAGCTCAGCAATACACAAACACAACCTTCACAACTACATCCTTTTGAACTTTGTCAGCCCTGTCTCATCTTCTAGCATCATCTGGAAATAACATGAAACAACATGGCAGGACACCTTTAGTTCAATTGCGTTGAAACTGTTCATCTTCCATCTAAGCCCGCTCCATCTAAGTCTGCTCACTGTGCGCTGTCCACATGTTTGCTTCATGAGGGCCTCTTCAACTGGCGCGGCTGCTGGAGCAAGTGGCTCTTCATTTACAGGGCCTTGGGAAGTAAAAGATTGATCAGGACTCATCTCACTCGTCTCTGGAAGAATGAAATCAGAGCATGTGATGTTTGCCTGCATGCTCTCTCTCTCTCTATCTCTCGGCAGCATGAGGGACGGATAAGGATATGAGTAGCTAGCAGCTACCCCCGTGCTTACCCAAACTATTCAAGAACTCAAAAAATTTTGTAGGCCACGGTTGGGTCAACCAGTTTTGTGCTCAGAATGCCTTTGGAACCCTTTGCAGGGCCATCATAACTGACTACCAAACCCCAGGCGGGTTTGGAAGATGCCCACTTGCTTCACTGCAAAGTTTCTGTCACAAAGCCCGGCTTCATAGGAGCGGAAGTTCGGCTACAAACAAAACACCGCTTTTGTTACGTTTGCTTGGTGCGGGCGAGCCATCTGCTGGTCAAGTCCGCCCGCCGAAGGTGCTGACAGGGGGGGCATTTTCGTTTTTTCCCGGGAGCGTTGCGAAGTTCTTCTGCAGAACTTTTTGTAACACATCTGCATCAGTACAATTGGGAGCTATCTTTCTGGCATACAGCTGCATTTGCACGCATGCTAGAAACTACATTTGCAGGCTGCAGGTTTTGTACCAATTTGGGAATATATAACTGTTTGTAGGACTGCTATAAGTACATTTACAGCTTGCACACGTGGTCTTCTAGACCGGTTGCTACGGAGGTGGTATACATTTGCAAGTTCTACAGCTGCAGTTGTAATGCTACAATAGGTATGCCGCTATGCTATCAGTACATCTGCAGTTTGCAGGTATGGTTGTGTAGATCTGCTGCTACGCTAGCATTGCCTTGGTATTGGGAACTTGTTCTGGTGAATTGCTTTGGTGCTGGGATCTTGCTTGGGTGGATTGCTTTGGTGCTGGGATCTTGGTTGGATAACTTTCGCTGGTATCTAGCTTAAGCAAAGTCATTTGCAAAGTCAAGTACAGCATACTTTCGCTGGGGCCTTGCTTGAGTAAAATCATGTGCAAAGTCAACTATGACTTTCGCTGGGGTCTTACGCGTGCGTCATATATCGCGGTTGCACACTGTGCGGCCTTTTGCGCGGCCACGGTGGAAAGTGCGTTTGCGTGAGTCCGCGCCGTTGGGCCAAGGAAAGCACACTGGTGTAAATTGGCCGTGCCGCTGTCGAGCGGGATGATTCGCGGCGAGTCTCATCTTACTACATCCATAGCAACAACTCTGGAAACGTGCGTCTGCACGTATACTTGTAGCATCTTGTAGCATACGCGCAAATGTAGCTACAAAACTCTCAGATGTATTCATACACATCTCTTACTTCTACATAACCTTTCCTTCCACACCCCTGGGCCGTCCGTCGTCTTGTTTTTATTTAGAGGGGGGTAGGTTAGCTAGGTAGGTAGGGGCAGCTCCTACCTGCAAGTAGCTACTACCTGGGACACTTGGTTTCTAGATTCTAGATCCAAAAAAGACAAAACGCTTGGTTTCTCCTACCTGCAAGTTTGGTTTCTAGATTTTTTGGGAAACTTAAGTCCATCTGGACTAGACGTCCACGTTGCAATGAAGAATCCTATTATCGAGAAGACAAGTTGATCCCAGGGAGTGACGGGGAAGGAGGAGCAGTATGCGTGGGGCGTTAAACCCTTCTGGGAGGGCAGGCTGATAAGGTTAAAAAGGAGGATGTGGCTGTCTTATCTTCAAGAGTGTGGTGGAGGCAATGGTGGTGATCTGTGCAAGAGCGTAGGTAGGAAGGCACAGCCGAAGAGGAGAACAGCGTTAGTTGGGGTTTGCAAGTACACGGAGTCCCTTGATTACACGGGTCATGCGGCTCACTCAGCAAGAGCATCCCTAGCAAGAGCCCTGTAACCGGGATAGACAATTTGGAAAGTCACGATCAGAAGCAACGATTCGTGGAAAATAGGTTTGTGTTCAAGACAATCAAAAAGCCGGATGATGTGGCCGAGATACCAGAGTCTTTCAACAGAGATGTGTTCACTAGGAATGGGAAGGCGAGGAGTGCGATGGTAAGCGAGAGAAAGAATATACTGGAGCACTCTTCGTCTAACAGCGAAACCGCCCAACGGCAGTACAAATTTTCAAACATTTGCCCAAGGACTTGGGTGTGCAGGTGTGCAGGTGTGATTTTGCGCAGGTGTGGATTTCATTTGGGAACGGAAATGCACATCCAGCATCAGGAGATGTGTCTGGGAGAGGAGTGGAGTGGGAAAAATGTTGACAAACAGATGGTTTTAGATATCCTGTATGTTTGATGATATTTGTCAACATCGCATCATTTGCATCACCAGGTCCATGACAGGCAAGAAAACGACTCCTCTCAATGTCAACAATAGATTTCAATAGATGCATCAGCTGGTTGCCCTCGTATCACATATTGTACAGAATGCCTGCAAATGACAATAACTTGCGCGCTGAAAAATGTACAATTGGCATAAAAATAGATCCAACAAACCTTGCAATCTGCAAGTACAAAAGACAGAACTAAACAATTTGTCAGTTCCAAACTATAGTCGTTATAGAGGCTTCTCGCACATTACTCATCCACTCCATGGTGCGTTCATCTCTAAGTCCTCTCTCGGTCACGCAGTCTGCATAGTTTATTGTACATAACCACCCTATCTTTTAACCCCCTTGAACATGTACATTTCTTCAAGGGTTCCTCCACAAAAAACAATATATGTATATGTATATATATATATACAATTGGCGGGTGGTTGGTTGTAATTTCTGCCCCTGGAATGAAGTACAATTTCAGCTATAGATACTGTTTACGCTGCGTTCATCTCTCAGTGATGTCTCGATCAAGTACACCGTTTACTCTATTTTCTTCCCCTCCAAAATCTACAATTTCAAGGGTGGTCCAAAAATAAATAGATCCAACAATGCTTGCAAATTGCACGTAAGACATGACATAACTAAACAATTTGTCGGGGGGTCCAACAATAGTGTGATTACGCAAAAGCTTGAGCCTTTCCAAAGCCTAGAGGTGGCGCTTTGGCGGTCTCCCTGACACAAATCAAAGACGTCAACAAGCCCTTCAAAGCCCTTCATCACAAAGCGTTCTCCTCATCAGCCCAAGCGTCTGGAAGGTGTTCCAAGAGAGCCTGGTCCAGGGTGCCACCGCCCGGTAGGGAGGACCTGCAGACTTTGGCGTTAGCCGGTAGCCTTCACCGTCATTTCACCTGGTGAGCCTTTCGTCACCTGTCCTTTTTGCGCGTCCAAATTTTCTCGGGAATATGGTTTGCAAACAAAGTTAGCTGAAGCCTTCTAGAGATGGATTTTTTTGAGATAGTGCCTCACCACAATCCCTGGTATAGAAGCATAGTTTGGACGCGATGCCAGTCACGCCGGACTACGCCGAGTGGCCCCAGTAATGAAGCTAATAGGCCCATCCAGAGTATCCAACGCCGCCGCTTGCTTTGAGGCCGGCAGCAACTCTTGGGTCAAAGCCTGGAACCGGTCCAGTGCGGCGGACAAGAGAGGCAGGTGGCTAGAGTGGACCGAGTAGACACACACTTGGAATACAGCACTTGCAGATTAGACCTTGCCTGGTGAACGGCGTGGCGAAATAAAAAATATATATATGGCTTAACATAGGTCCCACATTGCTTCACCATCTGATAACGTCTCCGTTGGGTATTGGTAGTGTCTGCCAATCGTGCACCACCCCCCCTGCCGTAAACGCGTCGTCTAAAGGAAGAAAAAACTACTGGACAGCTGTGGCTGCTGTGTCCAATTGCAAGGCACACATGTTCCAGAGATGGGGGGAGAAATCTAAAGGATTGCAAAGCAGATAGGTGAAGGCTATGCGATGTTGGGCTTTTGCCTCTTCTGAAGCCAGCTGCAAGGTGGTGTACAGAGACTGATCGGCTTGAACGTGGAATCCCAGACCAAAGAGGCCACTGGCAAAGAATCTGCAAGCTTGAGTTTGTCCAAGTCTATTTTGGTAACACCACTAGCCCCAGCTGGATCACATCTGTGAGGAACTGCATGGCTTCTTTCAAGACTGCATCAGGAGGCTTAGCGCTCTCAGTGCTGTTGACCAAGTCAGTCCAAGTAGTGGCCATGGCAACAGCCACGGCACTCCCCCGCCCCCAAAAAGCAAAAAACAGAAACTGCTAAGGGCGTTGGGCTGCAGGCTGCACATTCCTTCAAAGTTCGATTTGTGCACTGCAACAACTCAAGATTTGTTGGCACAAGACAAAAGAGAAAATATGAAACGAGGACGAGACAAAATGAAAGTGCGTGGCTGCCGACAAAGGGAAAACCAAGCGAAAAAACACTCGTCGGGGGGCTAGGGCACACTCGGGATAACTTGTACGGAATTGAAAGCCACTCGCCACACGGCTGCTTCGGCGAAAGTAGGTTCCTGAGCTAAAAACAGGACGAGTAGGTTGGAGGCCATCGCATCTAGGTGGGAGGTCATCGCAACAGGTTGGAGGCCATCACTAGTAGGGTGGTTGCGTACAAAAACGACAACGGTTTGAACTCACATCACAATCTGATTCGAGCTCACATCAATCAGATTAAACAGGAGGGGAGGGGTAGGTTGGTGATATCGCGCCTTGAACCCCTGCATTATTACACCAACAGGTGACCTTTGAGTCAAAGGTATTCACAGAGAGAGAGAGAGAGACACCGACAGACCGACGCATGACATTTTTCACGAGAGCTGTATGGTGACCAAAAGGTTTGGTGTGTAATTAGGTGTAGTGTAGAGATTTGGTCAAGCAATAAAAATGGCTTTGGAACTGAGCTGTGGATCCACAGGTGGCCTATGGCCTCTTCCTATTATTTGCGTGTCCAGCTGAAAGCCAACTTGTCATCATCGAGGGGCCGATCATGAGCCTCACAAGATGATCAACCCCACCTTCGCAGCTGCAAAGGCTCCATCTGCCTGCTGCTGGCCGCTTTGGCCAATTGACCTCACTAGCTAGTACACTCATTGACATGGGAAACGACTTTTGTCTGGTTCCACGTCCAGTTGGGAGGCAGCCAAAGGCTTTAAGGGCCACCCCATAGCTGACAGGGATCCAAAACACGGCAAAGGATTCACCCAGTGACTGTCACCTTCTCATCTCAAATATCCAAGGTGCAAGAATCAGTTGAACCAGGAAGAAGTTCCAAAGGAATCCAACAGCCTTTACAGAAACCTCTATAAAAGACACGTATCATGTCCGCATCGTCAACCCTTTCAAACTAATGCTGGCGTCAAGGCACGCCAAAGACAAGGCCGCTGTGACGGCACCGGCATTCAGCTGCGCATCGATGTCCAAACCATTGGCCTCGAAATATCTGCTGCAGAATTGTCTCTCTACGAGCGCCCAAGGTGTTCTTTCTCACTCAGGCCACCAGGCCTATCTAATGGATCTCCTATCATGCCAAGACTAGGGAAAACGCAAGAGCCGGAAATTGCGTGTTTTTGAGGTCGGCTTCATCCTGCTGCAGTCCTTGGAGGCTTTCCATAGGTTGGATCTGTGGGCTTGGAGGAGACATGCCAAGGTTAGGTCACGTCTCCCCAAATGTGAACAATAGCACTTTTCTCTTCAACACTTTTCTTCTTCTCAAGGAGGGCAATTTCGACCAGTGCTTGCTGAAGACTAGGCATTCTCAGCAAATGCACGCCCTTCCACTTTGGGATTGAAGGGTTTCTTGTGGCTCTGATTCCGTCAATTCTGCCTATTGAGATTTGATGGCTTTGGCGCACCTTAGCAGTGTCAGCTGCCTCCTTCGCTGCTTCATAGCTGCAACTGGCCAAAGGCATTTGGGCCTGACTCACTGCACTAGTTCGGGGACCACCATGTACTGCGGGATAATTCACGGACGGTAGGTAAATGGCAGTACACAGAAACCTATCTGTCCCAAGAAAGAAAACGAGTCAGACTGAGGTCTTTCTGAAAACCAGCAGGAACAGTGATTAGAGCCCTGAAAATCTCTGCTCTGGCGCCTTCTGGTAGACCTGAAAGGCTGCCTTTCCGGCATACTGCGCCTAGCGAGCAGGATGGTATGTGGACTGCCTCTCTTAACCGCACCGAAATAATCGACTTTGGAAAGGAAAACTATTTGGCCGGTCAAGACACCACACTCCCCGTGCGCGCCCCCAAACATCAACACAGGTTGACACCAGTATGCGTTCATGTAACTTCCGTGACCTATGTTGTTTTGACACCTGTGTAGATGTTTCAACCTACCACCCCATATCTCATTCAGCTCAGGACCCCCAACCTGGTACCCAGCGGACAGGCCCAGCGCGTGGGCTTCACCGGCCGCCGCTCGAGAGGCCGCGTCCGCCTGTTCGGCCAAGGACTTGTGCTCCTGGACGATCGGATCCCGGACCGGTGGATGTTGGGTGTCGGGTCAGTGGTCGGAGGTGTCCCTTCCATCCGTGAATTCAGGCAGATGTGCTCTTACACTCTGGATTGGAGGATTCAAAGGATAAGTGTTGAGACACGGAGAGAAGGGATCAAGATTAAGTAGAATGGAAAGTGTCTTGTGAAGCAGGTTGACTCTGAAAGTGGCTTGAGGAATTCAAAACCTTATATAACATTGGGTTTCACATATGATGAAGGGTTTGCAGTAGCTCAAAGGCCAAAGACATTGATCAACTGATCCATCCACTTGCAACATGTGATTAGAAGATTCTGGGAAGCCTAGAAGCCCTCTACGATCCTCCAAGAAGAGGATTTAGTGCAATTTGGTCCAAGACATGTCTGTTGAAGCATGGACTTGAAATCAATTCCAATTACCTGGAACTGCCCCCACAAGCCTTTTGGCCCACGGGAACCTCACTTTTCCACAGGAAAAATAAAGTGCCCCTACCCTAATATACTGCTTCTTCTGCTGGCTGATTAGCTAAAACCAAACAGCCAACGCCTGGGAAAAAAGAAGCTAGCAGTTGGGATCGGTTCAAACCTGCAAATGAAACCAACTCTGAAACCAGATTCTTGGCAAACCCCTCACGACTTCGTGGCAATCAAATGAAACATGTGCCCCATGCATATGTGCGTGTGACTTCTTCGCTCCCTAGCAGCTTGATCTGCAGCTGCTTCTGCAGTGCCACAGCTGCCACAGGCCGGTACATAATGGGGATACTCCTGCCGGAGGGACACGCTGTAGGAGAAGGGTCAAGCCCAAGAGGGAAAGAATTCTTCCAAAGCTGCGTGACACCGGTCATGTCGAACTGTCGAATCCCTGTCTTTGGGTGCAAACTAAAGAACTACAAGAACTTCCCTTTTTACCCAGAAAAGCACTGGATTTCAGACGATGTCTTTGAGCAAACACCCACAAAGCCCGTCATGCGCAAAGGAACACCCCAAAGAGGCCAACAGCAGCGCGAGCTTCATGGCTTCGCGCCGCGACAAACGCCACTGCCGGGCGCGTTACGTCTTGATCCGCCGAGGTCAGGAAATTCATGCCAGGAGGCGGACCACAATTCTTTGGGAAAGTACATTCAAATGGCTACTAGTACCTTCTTGTTCCTAGTAGCAATGTCAGGAGCCCCTAGTAGCGTCCTTGCTCGTTGTAGTAAGGCCAGGAGCCCCTAGTAGCGTCCTTGCTCCTTGTAGTAAGGCCAGGAGCCCCTAGTAGCGTCCTTGCTCCTAGTAGTAAGGCCAGGAGCCCCTAGTAGCGTCCTTGTTCCTAATTGAAACTGAAAGGGGTTACAGTACTTACTTACAAGTCTGTTATTCAAAGTCTCAAAGCACCCTCTCTCTTTGCTGGATCACAGATGTGTCTTTTCCGCGTGCTATCATCTTGACTAGGTAAGAGGATAAAGACGAGCAGCATCTGGAAAAGCCGGCAACCAGCAGTCCAGTCACAAAACAAGAGTGGGCAAGAACATGGCGCAACAGAAAAGCTGGAAAGACTATTCCCAGACCAAACACAGGCAAGTCTTCGGAGCCAGCGACTGCTGTGCTGGTGCCCACTGTAAAGGAACTTTTTGAAGAAGTGAGGACAACAATAACGAAAGTCCCAGATTTGTTCTATGGGATGTCTTCATGACATCTCAAGTATAAGTCAGAATGACTATGGAGGGGACAATTTAAATACATACATATATATATATATATATGTGTGTCCAGAAACACTGGTAGCAATCGTTTGCACGCTGGCCACGGCAGAGCACAAAGCAGGCTGTTCATTCCTGATATACCAAGCCAAAAGTTGATTTGACTCCAGACTGAAATGTTTGACCATACTTGACGTGTCAATATTATCAGCTTTCAACGACTCTTTTTGCTTGGGCGCAAGCTCGACCTGCCGTTCTCGCTCTGGCTGTTCCTATTCCCAAGGAACTGGTGTCGCAAAGGAACCTGCCCGGAAGAAGCCAGCAGACCCAGTGTCGTACATCCGAAGGAATCAAAAAGCTTTAAGGTAGAAGGAGGATAGGGTCGATAATTGTTACTAGTAGCCTCCTTGCTCCTAGGAGTAAGGCCAGGAGCCCCTAGTAGCGTCCGTGCTCCTAGTAGTAAGGCCAGGAGCCCCTAGTAGCGTCCTTGCTCCTGGCCTTGAAATAGGAGCAGGGACGCTACTAGGGGCCCTGGCTTTACTACTAGGAGCAAGGACGCTACTAGTAGTAAGACCAGGAGCCCCTAGTAGCGTCCTTGCTCCTCGTAGTAAGACCAGGAGCCCCTAGTAGCGTCCTTGCTCCTAGTAGTAAGGTCAGGAGCCCCTAGTAGCGACCGATCGCTCCTAGTAGCGAGGCCAGGAGCCCCTAGTAGCTTCTTGTTACTATGTTCAAACAAAAGTCCTTCTTTAGAGCCAGTCTCACTCCCTCCAGTCCTTTCATAGCGGCACTTTGCTGTGGACAGGTGGCAATGACTATACCCCATCCTTCCCACGCGTTCCAACATTCATAAAGGTACGGTCAAAATTGATCGTGCGGCGTGCGGCAATTGCATGGTCAAGTTTGTGTGTGAATCTCCTTACAGGGTATCGCTTTTTGAGAGTCCCCTATCGTTTGCCAGCGTTTGAAGCATTACAGCACATGAACAAAACCTTCTTCTGCAATACACAATCATCCCAACTTTTTGAAATCACTTCCAATCTGGACTCAACCGCTTCTATACCTGGCCCCCGACCGCGCCTAGGTCAGCGGGACATTCTGGCACATCTCCCCGGCAGAAACTCGGAAGCACGGACCTGCAAGCTGATCCTGAGAATGCGGAAGCAGTCTTAGACTGGATCTGAGGGACATCCAACAATACCAACCCAGATGCCCAAATCGAAACTTTTGGCTAGGCACCATAGGACTCATCTTCTGCCTTGTAGGCGCTGCACGATGTAGCAGTGCAAAAGCGCATGGCCCTCGGAAGAGGCAAGAGCTTGGAGGCCGCCTCAAAGTCACCTCAGCATGGAACCACAATGTTGGCGAATCTAAGACTAAGATACTGGGTAGGGCAGGCGTCAACAGAGATGCTAGGCAGGCGTGGTAAAAGAACCTGAGTTTGGAAGACCCACTTCTGGGAATAAAATGCCGCAGCTCAAACCATGGTTCACAGCGAGTTCCACCCAGTCCTTGACCAAAAGCCTTCACGCACAGCCCAGACACCCTGTGGCTCAGATTTCAGCGTCTGCTGGCAAGTGCAACAAGACTTGCCAGACAGCTCCATGATTTTCCCCTTCGGCAGTTTCACCTGAAACAAAGCAGATTCATCAGTTGAGACACTGAAAAACCCGAAAAATATTCAGAACCTCTCGGCTCCACTCAATGTTCTTTAGCTATCGTACTTGCTTGGCCTCTTACAAACATGGTCAATTCAGCCAAGCCACCAGCTGATGCTCGAGGCGAAACTCTCTTCGCTCATTGTCCAACTCTCTCTTCCGCTCTTTCTTGGTGGCAGGGCTAAAGCAGATAGGGTATCCACTCCAGTAAAAGTTGTAAAGGAACTGAAAGGATGTGTGCACCCAATGTACATGGCACAGCAAAAATAACTCAAGTCTAAGGATGCAGTTGAAATAAAATTACAGTATATAGATCGACAAACAATTGCAATATCAAATCCCAAGCAACTAGCCCAGGGTGGGAATTTAGATGGTGTTCTAAATTCTAAACAAACTTGCGCCAAGCTGCCCACATGTTTGACTCTCCCGTCTTGAGTTTGTTCTTGAAGCGGTCCTTCTCAATGGCAGCTTGCCATGTCTTATCCTTACCAAACCTGGTTGGGTGTCACTGACGACTTTCAGAGGCGTTCACAAGTGCATCTGCTACATCTTGCCAAGTGTCACTTTCTTCTTCTTTACACTCCTTGAGCAGGCATGTTGTCATTCTTTTGATGGGCTTAGTACGTGGGCAACTTCTTGCTACAAACAACATCAACTCGTGCTGGAAGACAGGTCATCTCGTCTGCAAGAACCCTTGTGGAACACAACATTGTCAAGTAATATTGGTCCCCTACCCGACCCCTTATATTAGGATCAACAAGTGTCTCGTTTGTGAGGCACGGCACACCATCATCTCAATCTAGAACTTACGGGGGGCCCCACAATGCTTAATAACTCGATAATATCATAGTAGGGTCCTTGCTACTAGTAGAAAAGCCCCTGTCACTAGTAGCTTCTTGTTACTAGTAGTATGGCCAGGAGCTACTAGTAGCTTCTTGTTACTCATCTAAAAAACAAAACATTGGAAAGAACTTGGTAGCGTGACAGACCGTGCACAGCGTGCATCACCGGTCAGTCACGGCGCTGCCTCCTATTGAACATGTGGCGGTGGCTTGGAGCCAGTTTGACCGAACTGAAAGAACAAAAGCGGCTGGGCTCATGGCCTTACTACTAGGAACAAGGACGCTACTAGGGGCTCCTGGCCTTACTACAAGGAGCAAGGACGCTACTAGGGGCTCCTGGCCTTGCAACAAGTTGAGTTCAACAGGTCGATAAAGTATGCCTGTCCGTTCGCACCCATAGAAAACTCATCTACATTCCTTGCAAAACTGTGTAAGAGACTATCTCTTCGTCTGTTCCATCTGTGCCATAGGGATTCAAAAGCATGTAACAGAGTGAGATGATTTGGCCGATTCAGCCAGGATGGTTCAATTGAGCAGAGGCCGGTTTCGGAACTGTAGCGCTGCTCTTTCTTTAGGCTTCAAACCACTGTCCGACACTAACGCCTGCCAGGCAAATTTGGGCTAGTTTGGTATGTTTTTGACCCTGCCGAAGACAAGGACGTGAATGCCTAGAGAAGGGAGTGGGAGGGCAGTTAGACTGAACAAGATGGAACCCACGAAGCCGAATGCAAACACGATCGAAAAACTAATATGTCCAAAGGACACTCTTGTAGGACACTCTTGCGGGACACTCTTGTAGTACACTCTTGTGGGTCACTCTTGTAGGAAACTCTTGTGGGACACTCTTGT